ATTAATATTAACAATTGCAGAATGTCTCTGAAACAAAATTCATAAAAATTAACGTTTCATGGAAATAAGTTGCAATAAAAATTTTCTAAATTAATTACAGATATTGCTTCAACATATTGTGCCAAGAATATTTTGTGTTGCAATCATCAGTGTCAGCCTGCACTTCTTTCTCGGCAAAGGTCTGAGTTTGCTGATTGTTCAATATTAAGTATCTCTTCAATCTTTTTCCTGAACAATCTTGCAATTTAGTTTCATCATTGTCAATTGAAATACTGTTCTCATTGTAATTCTTATTAGGTATCAACAACATGCCGTTCCAATAATCCTCATCGTCATGATTGTCCAAAGACGCTTGTGTACTGATTCCTATAATTTGCCAGGAATATTTACCTTGCACATTTTGTACGAAGACTTATGAAACAAATCTTGCAACAAACTGCACGATGTTTGCGTGCTGGTTCCAATAACTTGCCAGGAATATTTTATCTTACAATCGTAAGGCCTTTGGTCAAACCATTCCGTATTTTTACTTCATTGCTATATCCTTTACTTTGATTGTGAGAAGACGATGGCATCCAACTATCCACTTCTCCTGAATATTTAGTATCATGTATGATTTTATCTTGCATTTTGATTGATCTGATTTCTTAGCGGAAGACCAATCAGCAGAATTTAAACGAAACTGCGGCAAGTTGTTTCCAACAGATTATCATTTTCATAATGTAACACATTAATTTCAAGTTCACTGTTGGTAGATTGCAAGTGATTCAATACTGATCTGTCGTTATTGCAAGTATTTTCTCATTCTTGACCTGAAAACTGGAGATCGATTGCTCGACACTGTGGAAACAGTGTCTGTAAATTGACTTTGCGATGATACAATTAATGATTTGCTCATAATATTGCTGATCGGTGTTTCTGTCCTTGGCGCAGTTGAAGATGCATCTTCATATTTCATCTGATTTTCTTTCCTCCGTAAAGATCACCTTTTCTTGATAATCTTATGGATCTTGAACTTATCCTGCACAAGCTTTCATCCTGTTTTGACAGTTGAAACTGAACAGGCACTGTATTAGGAAAATGTAATGTGGTACTTCTCTTCTTGCAGGAAAACACTTCCTTCAAGGGATATACAGTTTGCAAAATACTCCTCTTCTTGGAAGAATTCATCTTTTTAGGAATGGTATATAATTGTTTTAGCTTTGTATTCTGATTTCTAAATTTTCGAGAATTGAGTCTTCTCACCTATGGTTTCAAGTATGAAATATAGATGAGAAGTTGATAATTTTAAAAATAATATAAAATATACATAAAAAATATATAAAATAAATATAAATATATATAATATATATATATATATATATATATATAAAATATATAAAAATATTTTAAAAAATATATTTTCCAGAGAAGACGATATCAGAGGGAATATTTGAATTGACCTTAAATAAATCTTCCAAAGGATTGTACAATGTACGAATTGGTGTTTCTGAGAACAGCAGCGCAGGACTATTTCTGTAGTTTTGCGCCCTCAGAATCTGAAGTTTATTATTCCCTGAAGAGGGAATGTTGAAGCTCTGCTTGAAGGGCACAGACTTCGCAACAGGAATCATTACATTCCTGGTATGCAACATCATATCTGGTGCAACCACCTTTTTCTTTGCGCATCAGCAACCTTCTTTAAACATCTGCCTGTTATGAGAATTTGATCACCCATGTTTAGTCCTCTTTTCTGTAGTAAAGCATATATTACACATCAGAGCTCATGTTTTTTAAAGAATTTAATATATTTATATTTTTTATTCTATATGTAATCTGTGTTTCTTGTTATATGTCTTCACTCATTATAACCTAGATAAAAATTCAGGAGATTAAACGTTGAGAATTAAATGCAGGCTTAAAAATATTTTTTCCTCTCAATATATGTTTACATCTGTCAAAATCACGTGGTTGAAATTTTATACGAGAGAAAAATTATACATTAGATAAAATATATACATACACACACACACACACACACACATATATATATAATATTTTTATATACTCACAGAATTTAGAAATTAAAACTTGAGAGATATATAAATAAAACAATTTTTTTAAATTATTTATTGAAGATCTCTGCGTGGCAAGAATTCGAGTGGAAACACGAGAAAAATTTGGAGTAATATTTTTTGCCGAAAGAGGTTTATAACATTTGAAATGCACGCGTAATCGGCGAATCTTCAGGGACGGTGCATCTTGATGTTGCACTGAACTATTTCTAAATATAACTGTATGACGGATGACAAATGTGATATCATGCGAAATAAAGTAGCTAATCATCGCGTATCTCACTCGCATATTTAAATAATTACATATACATATATATATAACATGGAAAAAAGATATTATATATATATATATTTATTTATATATAATATATATATATATAAATTTTAAATATATATTTTACATATTAAAAATAATATATATATATAGATATATAGATAGAGATATATTAATATTTTTAAATATTTATATATAGATATATCTATATATATATAATATAATATATAACATTATATATTTAATATTATATATAATTAATATATTAAATATTAAATATAATGAATATATATTAGACTTATTACATATATCATTATACCATAATTATATAAGAAAGTGAAACTATATCTCATAATTCTAATTTACAGGGGTATTATTTATATATATTATTTATTATACTAGAAAAATCATTAATGTTCATATTATTATATTTATACATACGATAATAAAGTACATTGTCATTGCAGTAATATATATATATATACATTGTATTATTATATTTAAACATTATGATACAATCCATTATCACACAATCCTCCCTGATATTAAATTAAAATATAGAACATAAATATAGAACATAATAACTACACAAGAAATAATAATAATAATAACAATTTTATGTGAAGCAGATAAAAGTTATAAGATGTAATATCTTTAGCTATTGATTTTTTTAAAGACAATTTTAGCTCACTTAATTTTCTCTCGATTCTAATTCGTCATAATATATTATTCATATGTAATTTTGTAAAGGGATCTGATTTAAAACTTATCAGGATCTAAATTCTTTATCACATATGTTCGCAAATATTTGCACTAGATATATATATATATAAATATATGCCAGAATGTATTTTAAAAATCCTTCATACTATATAAAACTGTTTTATATGCCTGTATGTTGCTCTAGAAAGGGATGAAAAAATTACGTGATTTTTTACGACATGCACTAAAAACGTGTGCATGTACATTACGTAATTAAAATTTTCTTTCAGAATTATTATCGACTGTGCGAACATGTTCGGGAAACTTTTTCGTTAATTTTGCCTTTTCAGAAGCTGATCGATTTGCGTCTTGTACATCTCCTTAACATCCTCCAAATCCAGTCGCAATTCTTGATTCTCCTCGACCTTCTCGCCGTACATCTGCAACAGGGCGTCGTATCTGGTTTGCGTCTCGCTGAGATTTTCGTTTAGAGCCTGCGTTTGCGAGACTTTCACGTTCAAATCCTCGATCTTCAAAGTCAACGTAGCCAATTCCGAATTCAATGCGTCCCTCTCTAGGTTCCGCCGTGACAAGTCCCACTGGAGTTGCTGTATCTCACCTGTGTAATAAAGATTACAATATATGACATTGAATATAACATTATCGATAAAAATATATTAAATATATATATATATATATATATATATATATATATCAAATATTAAATTAAGACATTATAATCATATAATATATATATTAAAATTACCTAAGTAGCAAACAGATGTCATTAAACGTCAAAATGACATCATTTTGCCGTCTAAATGACGTCATTTGATGTCAAAATGACGTATGCTTGCTACCTGAGTAAATTATTATAATAATGAATTATAAAATCTAATTAATTATATTATGTAATTATATTAAGCATAATAATATATATTAGAATTACCTAAGTAGCAAACTGACGTCATTAAACGTCATTTTGCCGTCTAATGACGTCATTCTACGTCAAAATGACGTATGCTTGCTATCTGAATAAACTATTAACACATAATTAATTATAATATCTATCATAATTATTATTATAACAATTATTGTAATATATAGGATGTCCCAAAAATCTTGCAGCAGTTAAATATCTCGAAAACAAGGGCTTTTTGCGAAAAATGTTTCAAATAAAAGTTGTAGAGCTTAATAACGTATTAAGTAGTAATATTAGTGTGTATAAATAGTAATATTAGAAATATTAAACTATAAATAACTTTGTCATTGTAATAAACTATAATAATAATCATTATTATAATAAATAATAATTATTATAGTTTATTATAATTATAATTATTGATACCTACCATCCCTTTGTTTTAGTTGAGCCTGTAAATTTTCAAAGATCGACGTGCTGCTCGAGCCAGCTCTGATGGTCTCGTAGGACATTGGAGGAAATCTTCCAGAGCTATTATCAAATACTGAATCGTTAAACTGAAAAAAATTATGCATGATATATAAACATATATACATGTGTAGATGTATCAACTGTCAACTCTACTTGATATCATATATACATACACCTGGCCAGCCACTATTCGCACTACTAACAGACTCCTGGCCTATACTGAGAGTGGGGCTAAATCGTGATTCCTCGTCAGTGTTTTGTTGCTGTTCCAGTATCGCGTTATTTCTTCTTCGTTCCGCGTCGGTCGCAGCTTTCTCCACAGCCAATTTATTCTCCAAAGCATCTATCTCCCTTTTTAAATCTTGCACGTAATCGGAATGCGTCTGCTCGAGATTTTTATCGCGTCTTGGTGTCTACAATTTGACGACGTGTTATAAATTTAACAATTTATTATCCACGTCTAATATTTATTATATATAAATTATTACTTATCTAAAATATTAATAAATAAATAATATTTATAAAAAAATATAAAAATCTTATATTAAAATATTACATATCTATTATAAATATTATAAATAATTATAATATATATATATATATATATATATATATATTGTAAATAATTTATTTATCTATTTATTATATTTATTATATTTATTTACATTTATTATTTAATATTTATTTATATTTATTATCCATGTCTAAATATTGTACTTACTGCTTATTTTGCTCGATTAGTCGCTCGCTTTCTTCCTTCAGCTTATCACACGACTCTTGCAATTTTGCTCTCTCCTTCTCTTTAAAATTGAGTTTCGATTCTAATTGCGACTCTTTGGACTTCAAATTGACATTTTCCTCTCTCAGAAGACGATCCATTTCCATTAAATTTTCGACTTTCGATTGTAATTCAATGTTCTTCTCCGACAGAATCTTCTCCTGCTTCATAAAACTGTTGGATTTATGCAGCAAGTTCGCCTGAAGTTGTTCCAGTTGCCTCAACAGAGGTTTCGTTGCTACCGAGACGGATTCGGATAACTCTTCGCTCCTGGCTTCCGCGGCTTCCAATCGCTTCAGCAGCTCGCTATTCTCGTGTTTGAGAAACTCCTCCCTCCTATCGCAAGAAGATAAATACTTAGAGTCGAAAAATTAATTCTACAATCCCTAATCAGTGTTGTGCTTAGATGATTTTAAAATTAGACAGCTAAAGGTAAAATAAAATATGTAAATTCATCTTAGATAAGATAAAGATAATTTTGTTTTAAATTATCTTGATAAAGAGATAAATTATATGGTAATTCATCTAGATAATTTTCTAAATAATAATTTTTAAGATTGCTTATGTAAACACAATTATTAAAAAAATGTAAATTATAAAAGGGATATAAAAATATATGTATTCATATCTTTAATTATAAATTTTTATCGCTTACTGCTTAAGTTCTACTATTTAAGTATTTTTATGTGCTATGATTCTAAATCAAAATTATCTGAAAATTATTCTAGATAATTTAAGTAAAGATAATACTTTTTTCATCTAAGATGCAGATATAAATAATACATATTTCTATTATCTATATAAAGATAAGATGACGTCAAAGTTTTATCTAGATGATCATCTGTATAATTTTATCTAGATAACAACAAATACTGTCCCTAATAAATGCGATATTTACTTGACATGAGTTTCTTCAGCTTGACGGTACTTCAATTTCAAGTCCTCCACTTGCGCAAACAGCTGACACGATTCTCCCGCGTTGTCCACAGCCTCTTTCAGTTCCTCCTCCATAGCTAGCAACGCCTCCTTTTTTTCTGTTAACTCACTATATTACACGGAAATTCTTATTATTAGATTCTTATGCAGTGTTCACTTTTTATACTTTGAAAAAAAATTAATTCAGACTCCTCATCGACCAATGTTGGAATTGTAACGTCACAATCTGACATTGTGAGGACCCAGGAATTATAATAACTCCACTTACACTTTCGCAGCATCCAAGCTCTTCTTGTAGGCTTCCATCTTATGTACTGTATTGTCCAATTTTTCCTGCAACATGAGTATCTCTTTTTCTTGCTTCTTCGTCTTCGCCGTCAGGGTATGAACAGCTTCTATCTGACTGCGTTCGACTTCCTCCTTCGCGTGCAACGAACGCTTCAATCTTTCCAGTTCCGTATTCTGCTCCTCTATTTGTTCTCTGAAAAAAGATGATGGTGAATAGAAGAAAATTTAAAAAATTAAATTAATGAAAAATAAGAGAATAATCGACGTACTTTTGACTCTTTATCGTCGCATCGATCTCTTTCTCCTTCACCCGCAACTTCTTTATGATGTTGCTGTGTTGAAGCTGCTGTTTACTGAGTTTCTCACCCTCCTCGCGAAGTTCTTTTATGATCTCGTCCTTCTCGGCGTTTATATTGGACATCTCCTGGGAGGACAAACGTGACGCCGCATCCCACTTCAGCTGATCCAGATTTTTCCTCAACTGATCGCGCTCTCTTATAGCTTGCTGAAATTTTCTCTCCAATGCTGACAAACGCTGCGTATACTCGTCTGTGATTTGATTTATATTTTGATTCTGCTCCGCATGTTTTCAAAATTCTCGAGTTGCCTAAAAGAAAAAACACATTTATTATTTTGTTATATTGTTTTTCTTATATTATATTTATATGAAAAATATAAAAATAAATTATATTTATTATAATTCATATATAATTATTTTTATTTTATTTACTCATATACAGGGTGTTCCAAAAGTCCACAACAGGATTTTAATAATGCTATTTATAGTCACACTAATATTACTACTTAATACGTCACTTAATACTCTATAATTTTTATTTGAAAATCTTTCCTCTAAAAAACCTTTGTTTTCGAGATATTTACAGTTGTTATCGAGATACATACAGTTATATGTAGCAGGATTTTTGGGACACCCTATGTATAGTTATCGAAGTACATGAAGAGAGTATGACGATCTTACTTCATTAAATTTGCTATATGTAGCAGGATTTTTGGGACACCCTATGTATAATTATCGAAGTACATGAAGAGAGTATGACGATCTTACTTCATTAAATTTGCATTTTGCTCGTGTAATTCCATGTTCATCCTGCTCACGTCGATCAGCTTTGATTCTCTCGCCTCCAAAATCTCCGTCATCTCCTGCACTCGTTTCAGAAGCTTTTCTATCTCCATATTTGTCTCGTCCGAGCCTATACTGATCTCGCTCAATTCGCGGGAATGACCTCTGATCTTCAAAGTCTTCGTTAGCAGATCGCCGCCTTTGGTCAATTGCAATTTTGCGGGACTCTGTCGCGATTGAGTTGAGCTTGAATCTCCGTTTGGACTATTAGCAAAGAGCAAATGATGTGATTATTAATATTCAACGCAATATTTTATTATATCTTTAATTATTTAATTTTATATATTATATATTAATCTAATATAATCTAATATATTATATATTCTATATAATATTAATATTATATTTAATTTTATTTATATTTTGTTATTTATAATTATATTTTTCTATTATACCTAGATATTATCTCGATGTCACTCGACGTTGTGGTTTCCAATTCGTCTCCGCTAGTGTGTCCGCTGGCCTGATCGGAGCCAATTTTTACTAGATCAGAACGACTGTAAGAAAGAAATTAACTATTTTATACTTATTATCATATACAGAGTGAATCTAAATAAATGCGAATAATTTTAAGAAATTATTACTTTCTTGAAAATCAAGGAAAATCTTTCATGTAAACATATATACTATCATAGCCCTTCTTAAGAAGTTACGCTCCTCGGAAGGAAAGGATAAATATTACATTTGTTTCTTTTTTTTCAAATTTTGAATAAATTAAATGGGAGGATCTAGGAATACATGTTGACGTGCAAGATTTGCATTTATTTAGAATCAGTGTATACAAGGTGGACAAAATAAAGCGTTACGAACTTTTATATATCTCCAAAAATATTTAATATAAACTTTTTCCTAAAAGGCAATTTTCAAGGTCATTTGTTTTTTTTAAATAAACTTAAGTATGAAATATCTCGTAAACTATTCACCTTTTGACCATTCTATCCCTACTAACTTTTTATGCTGAATATTACAAGAATCGATTTATGTAAAAAAAACACAAATGACCTTCAAATAACCTTCAAATAACCTTGAAAATTGCCCTTTAGCGAAGAGTCAGTAGCGCCAATTTTTTTCCTCCCTCGAAATCCTACGACTTTAATTTGGAAACATTTTTCTCAAGAAACAATATTCTTGGATAAAAAAAATTCGTAAAACGTTTTATTCGGTCCACCCTGCATGAATCGAGCGCGATATTATACCTTTCTGATGAAATAGGTGAGTTTTCTCGCGGCACTTCGGCGCAAATAGTCTCCACATCAATTATCTCACCCTTTTCAACCATAGCATCAGCCAGCATGGTCTTCACATAGGAACTAGCGGTCAAAGGGGTCTCCAGGACCTTAGGACACTCGTTCGTGCAAATCAAGGTCGCGTTATCCTCCGAGCTGCTCTCTATCAGAGTCCCTTCCCCGCTGGAATCGGTGGACACCAAATACTGATCGGTATTATTGCTCTCCATCGTCTTCGCGTTCTCGACTTGAGGATAATTCTCCGGATCCGGGGGCTCTATAGTGGCGCTCATCAACTGGGAGAAGGTGGAGACATCCGACTTTTCGTTCGCACTCTCCACCAACTGATGGTGATCCAGCTTGCGGATCGGCTGGGTGGTGATCGGTTCCAGGGTCAGATGCAAATTGTGCTTCTCCTTCAGCGAGTCGAGGCTCAGGTTCAGCTTGTTGTCCGTGGTGCAGGCTTTCGCCAACATCTGCCGGTCGTCCGGACACGAGTCGTGCATCCTCGCGGGCAGCTTCACCCCGAGGTCGGCCAGGTCCAGCTTGTTCCTGACGGCGTCCAGCTGCAACGGCTCCAGCACCGTCATGACGGTGCCCTCGGAGGCCGAGGTGTAGGAGTCCTCGGCCAGACTGACTTCGTCCAGCTCGTCCGCGTCCGGAATCACCTCGACGCTCTCCGGGGAGGTCTTCGAGCTGTCAACCATCAGCTGCGACGGGCTCTTACCCAGGTCCAGGCTGGAGAACACATTGGAGGACGGTGTGCTGTCGACGCTGTAGGGATGCGAGCTGGTGCTCAGGGTCTTGACCTCCTCCAGAGGGGACTCGTATGGCGAGATGTCGGAGGACGACGCCTCGAATCGATCCAGAGGCTGCAGCAACGTGTCCGCGCACTCCACACACGGGGTGGCGCACTCGTCCGCGTCCAAGCCGGGAGAGGACTCGGAGGTCTTCGGGTCTATCGGGGATAGATAGGGACTGCTGTCGCTCTTCCAGTCTCCCAGGACCTCCACGGAACTCGGCGACGTCACCAGACTGTCTGGCAGGATCTCGACCGACTCGGAGTTCACCTTGATGCCTACGAGCGAGGGACTCAGGGAATTGGTGACGGAATTGAGGTCGGATTCCGGAGTGGTTGTGCAGTCACTGTTGGACTGCGAACCAAGTATCTCCACGCTCTCCAAGCTTTTCTTGTCGCTCTCGGAGGAGACTGGATTGGGTGCATTATGGAACACATTAGTGGAACTCGATGGTTGATTAGTATCATTGTTCTCCAATGTCATCTCGTCGCGATACCGCTCCTCTTCTTCCTCCTCGTTGCTAGTTGCGGACTCATCGTCGATGTCGTCCGCTGTTGGTGCACGATAAATTTGCTCCAAATCTAAACTGGCACTTTTAGATATATTCAGTTTGGTACTAGTAGGTGCAACGCTGTCTGGGGGCAATTGTTCAGATGATATACAAGACTCCGATGCACCTTTGCTATTAGATTCCTTAGATATGTTATGATTTATATTTACAGATTCACTAGTAACTCTGGACTCTCCTTCCTCTCCGCTATGTACAGATTCAGCCTTTGTCACTGTGGATTTTCCATCGGTTGTCACCAATTTTTCAGGAACCGAGGCAGAAGACACCATCTCGCACTGCTCTTCACCTTGACTGGCAGGACTTTGCAAGGACTTGGAGTGCTTGACAATCTTCCACGCATTGTTGTCTATGATTCTAGGAGGCTCGAAAAAGGAACCGGTGAAGCTGCCCCAGATACTATTGGAATTTGACTGTTTCTGCAAATTGGCCTCACGTTTGTTTGCCTCCTCCTCGTTTTGCAACCCCCAACTCGCGAAGAAGTCCGAGGTCTCGTCCGTGTGCGACTGAATAACCTTTGGTTCCTCCTCCTTGATATCCAGAGCCTTGTCTATAGTCTTCTGGGCTCCCTTCAGGGCAGACTTTGCCAAATTGGCAAATCCCGTAGCATCAAACCAACTCATGTTTTATACCTAAAATAAGAAAAATATAATAATAAATTATAAAATAATACATATATTACTAATTCTATTTTTCTAACTATAATAGGATAAATATAATTTTTTAAGTGCGAAACAATCTTTTGTTGCAAACATAAATATTACTTATATTGTATACAACATTATATTAAATTCTGAACAAATTCATGTATATTATTTATTAAATCTACTGAGAGATGTTGCAAGATTTAATATTCCCCTAATTATATTTACAAGCTGTCGGAAACATCGTTTGTGAAGATTTGTTCCTAGATTGCACTATTTCACGCGATATTCATATATTAATCTGTCACAACAAACGTACATGACATTCTCCAAAGCAACGCTGGTGACAGCGAGACACGTTCTTTAATTTCCTTTCTCAACCGATCCGCCTGTTAACTGTCAAAATGCATTTGTCAGTAGCAGCCGACATGTTCGTGACAAGTGTCGTGCCAGTGCTGTCAATACATTTCTGACAGTTGCTACCAACATACTTTGGGCGGCTAATCAACTTGCAGTTTTCCCGTTGGAGCGAAGAGTCGATTGGCTGCCGCGGCTGCTCACCAGCCAATCAGCTTGAAGCTTTTCCGCTGGAACGAAGAGTCAATTGGTTGCTACGTCTGCCCTCCAGCCAATCAGATTCACGCTATTCTATAAGAAAAAAACCGTTTTCTTCCTTGTTTTCTGTACGCAGAAGATTATTCAGTGTGTATCACCACAGATTAATAGACAGATCGCCAAAGGTCTGGATGAAGGAGAGACCAGTATTTCTCACTGATTTCAGCGCCATATCGTAGTAGTGGTCAATGCAGTAACTATTAATACGTTCCCAAGATAAGAGCGTCTCATGCTCATGAACTCATCCGGCGGCATGTACGAGATTTATCTTTTCGTAGCGTTCGCGTATTTCGGAAAGGACAGAATTTTATGATGTTATAAATAAATAAATAAATAAATAAATAAAATATTAACCTGACCTATTATAATTATTTTTTAATAAATGTTTCATTATTATTATCATCTAAGTCTAAGTCGTTTAATTAATTTTTAGTTTTTTAATAATTAATTTAATTTATTCTAATCATTTTAATATGTGAAAAATACTAATACGTATACGTTTTATAATGAATTAATATATTTTGAGAGTCGAATTATATATTTTTAATAATATAAAAGTGTTCAAAAATTATATTTGACTTTTAATTTTAATTATTTTAGCAAAGAGTTCCGAAATCTCTTACACACATAATAGGAATTTTGTTCATCCATATAATTCGCAATTAAGTATATATGTTAATTATTAATTTTAATAAAATACAAAATTAAAATTAAAGGTCAAATATAATTTTTGAACATAAATATATTTAATTCGTTATAAAACGTATACCCGTGATAGTATTTTTCTCGTACAAAAATAACTAGAATAAATTAAATTACTCATAAAAAAATTAAAAAATAATTAAATAATTTATATTTTATATGATAATAATAAAACATTTTATAAAAAAAACAGATTCAATAAATATAAGTATATATATAACATGTACTTATATTTATTGAATCTGTTTTTTAATAAAATGTTTTATAAGCTTAGAAAACTTGACTTCGACGTAACTAGCAAATTTTATTTAATTATTTCACGACGGTTTGACGTAATAAAATGTTTTATTATTATTATATAAAATATAAGTTTAAATTCTTTAATTAATTTTTAATCTTTTATGATTAATTTAATTTACTCTAATTATTTTTGTACGAGAAAAATACTATCATGGGTATACGTTTTATAATTAATTTAATATATTTGTGTTTAAAAATTATATTTGACCTTTAATTTTAATTTTTATTTTATTAAAATTAATAATTAACATATATACTAAATTGCGAATTATATGGATGAAAAAAATCCCCATTATGTGTGTAAGAGATTTCGGAACTCTTTGCTAAAAAATAATTAAAATTAAAAGTCAAATATAATTTTTAAACACTTTAATATTATTAAGAATATATAATTCGGTTCCCGAAATATATTAATTCATTATAAAACGTGATATTATTTTTCTCACATAAAAATGACTAGAATAAATTAAATTAATTATTAAAAAACTAAAAAGTAATTAAACGACTTAGACTTAGATGATAATATAATAATGAAACATTTTATTAAAAAAAGATTCAATAACTAGTAGGTCAAGTTATAATTTTTTATTTATTTATTTATAACATTATGAGCTATTAAGCTCATCATCTCGTTCGCTCTCTGTCTTGCTTTCATTCGGCAAGTCACAAACGATATATGATACTCGTATGTTCCTACTTCAACTCTCGAGAATCTGAAACAAACGAAACTCGTGTCCAATATACAGGGTGTCCGGTAACTAACAGACCAATGATTACAAATGGATTCTTTGGTCAATTTGGGAACGATTTTTCCTCAGCGAAAATGTCGAAAAAGGTCATCATTTTTTACAACTTTCCAATCTTTGTCATTATATATCTTTATAACTAAGCCTTAAATTAAAATTTTATTATAGTAAACTCTACCTGAAATTAACTGAAGAATGTAATTATGTTAGACTTTTAACTCCAAAACGTTTAGTTTTCAAAAAACCTATTTTTTTCAATCGCTTATAACTCGAAAATTATTGACTTCTCTACATTTTTGCTAAGGAAAAATCGTCTCCAAATTGGCCAGAGAATCCGCCCTTAATCATTGGTCCGTTAGTTACCGGACACCCTGTATATATTATATAAAAGTGTATAGCACGTCAGAAGCTTGTGAGCTTACAGCGATAAGTAAAAACAATTGCGTATCTATTTCATTGCGTTTATCTGTTTAAACGCGCGCTTTAATTTTTCCAACGTTTTTGCCTGTTTATATTTTAAAGGTCCTCTCTTCTAAAAATCTTGTTTTAAAGATCCTCTCCGCGAGCAAAATTCGAAAACATAAATTATTTAATATTTTTACTTTATTATTTGTAAATCCTCGGTAATTTCAAAATTTTTCTATTTGAAAATTATTAATTTTCTATTGACAATTAATTTTATCACAGACTTTACTCTTACTCCCATTGCACTTTCGTTTGCGGTTTTCAGTATACGATTTTTTATCGTAGTTACTGAAAATTATTATTGTGAATTATACTTGTGCAGTGATTTGAAGAATTTACAATTTCGTTGAAATTGTTGATTCTTCAAAAAAATTACGAGATTCGCGGAAATTGCGTGCTTTCTTGGCATTTTCCGTTCGCGGCAGGCGGTTTATTTTTGATTGTTGCAAGTGTTTTTTTTTTTTTATTAAAATAGATAATAATAATGTAAAATAAATCACGATATTTGACAGATGTGCATATATATAGAAATTGTAATAATAATAATATTATATCATAAAATTGTAAATTGTTTCAATTTTTTATAGACTGCGATAAAAGATTTTACATTTGGATAAGAAACTGCGGTAAGTAAAAATATAAAATTCTTGAAAACGTACCAAAAATATTTGATAACGTAAAAAGGTGAACTTTGAAAAATAAGGAACTTAAAAATTGCACTAATAAATGGGCTATATGTGAGCCGTGCGCGGATGTAAGGTGTGTTATATCGAAATTTAATTAATAGAATTGAGAATTAATCCCAATTTTAAGTCTTACAAATGTCCAAGCTAATTTTTTGTACCTCGTGTACATTTTTGAAAGTTATATCGAAAAATTAAATTTCAATATGCGTCTTACATCTCACATTTCGCATACGGCTCACATATAGCCTATTTATCTCATACTTTATTTCAACCCTTATAGAAATTTATTACTGGTAACGCCAATTTATCAATTTTATTTCGAGTAATTAATCACTTTTATTTCGAATACTTAAATTACTGTATATTATAGTATTTTAAATACTCGAAATAAGTGATTAATTGGCATAGTGATAAATTTCTACAAGAGAATAAGGAGCCTTTAAATTCTTAATGTAAAAAATTTTAAGTAATTTTCTTTAATAAAATTTAATTAAAAATTTTTGAACACTGTGTTATATCACATTTAAAATCGTGATTATTTCAATAAAAAAACATTTTATGTGTAAAAAATATATTTTTTATATTTAATAAATTTTATATATATATATATATATATATATGCATATGTAAAATATTCTCTTTCTCTTTCTCTCTCTCTCTCTCTCTCTCTCTCTCTCTCTCACACACACACACACACACACAACGGGGGCCAAATCTCTCAAATTGGTCTCATGATCAATTAGCCTGGATTCGCACCAGGGGCAAAGTCTGTTGGTAATGTCAAACGAATTTAGCCTGGACTTGCACCAGGGGCAAAGTCTTTTGGTCGAGTCGACGAAATTTAGCACGGACTCGAACCAGGGGCAAAGTCTTTTGGTTCAAGTCTACGAAATTTAGCACGGACTCGAACCAGGGGCAAAGTGTGTCGGTAAGGGGCAAAGTCTATCGCATGAAGATGGCGGTCTCTTCTTTAGGCAGGCCTTTGGCGATCTGTCTATTAATCTGTGTTAATAGACAGATCGCCAAAGGTCTGGATGAAGGAGAGACCAGCATTTCTCACTGATTTCAGCGCCATATTGTAGTAGTGGTCAATGCAGTAACTATTAATACGTTCCCAAGATAAGAGCGTCTCATGCTCATGAACTCGTCCGGCGGCATGTACGAGATTTATCTTTTCGTAGCGTTCGCGTATTTCGGAAAGGACAGAATTTTATGATGTTATAAATAAATAAATAAATAAAATATTAACCTGACCTATTATAATTATTTTTTAATAAATGTTTCATTATTATTATCATCTAAGTCTAAGTCGTTTAATTAATTTTTAGTTTTTTAATAATTAATTTAATTTATTCTAATCATTTCAATATGTGAAAAATACTAATACGTATACGTTTTATAATGAATTAATATATTTCGAGAGTCGAATTATATATTTTTAATAATATAAAAGTGTTCAAAAATTATATTTGACTTTTAATTTTAATTATTTTAGCAAAGAGTTTCGAAATCTCTTACACACATAATAGGGATTTTGTTCATCCATATAATTCGCAATTAAGTATATATGTTAATTATTAATTTTAATAAAATACAAAATTAAAATTAAAGGTCAAATATAATTTTTGAACATAAATATATTTAATTTGTTATAAAACGTATACCCGTGATAGTATTTTTCTCGTACAAAAATAACTAGAATAAATTAAATTACTCATAAAAAAATAAAAAAATAATTAAATAATTTATATTTTATATGATAATAATAAAACATTTTATAAAAAAAACAGAT